TTTGACTTTGGAGCGGTGGCCTGCCCCTCCAGGCCCTGACCCTGCGGGTGAGGGGAAGCAGCGCGTGCTGGGGCCTGCCTGGGCCTGTATATATGTACATACTCGAATCTCTTCTACGCCTGTGAATAAAGACAAGCGCCCTGTGCGCCAGAACGCTGAAGGAGCTCTCCGGTGCTGAGTGCTGGGGGTTTGGGCTCCAGGCAGGGCAGCTGCCGCTGTGAGGAGCGGGGGGGGCCCCCTGCCGCTGTGAGGTGGAGCCGCCAGCTCGGCAGGGCATGTGGCGGTGGAGGGTGGGGAACCCCGGGTGACCTAGGGGTCCGGTCCTGGCCTGTCATGGTCAGCGCTGGTCCCTGGGTGTGGGCCCGCAGGTGGAGGGGAGGTCCCACCTGGCTGACTGTGTGGTCGGGTCCCGGACTTAGCAGCTTGAAAAGCACCTCAGGCAATGTGGACGCTGTGTCCAAAATCCAGAGAGAATGGGGGAGAAGGAATTGCAGGGTGGCCATCCCCCCAGGGGGTGATTTCTCACCTCCCTCTTTCTCTGTCTACCTGTCTGTCTGGGTGAGCGCACATGCCCTACGGCAAAAATCTAAAAAACAAAAGAAAATAAAACTATAAACTTTGGGTAATGGAGACAGGGCCTGAGTTCTAAGATCTCACATAGGCCTGGGCCGGGCAGCAATCTGGACGCTGAAGTAGCCAGCCCCGGCCAGGGAGACAGAAACCGAGAAGTCACCCCCCAGGGGGGATGGCCACACCACAGTCCCTTCTCCTCCATTCTCCTCTTGGGATCTGGGGCACGCACGCACATGTGCCTGACGTGAGTTTAAGCCTCCGGGTCCAGGACTCCAACCGCGGTCCACTACATGGCAGTCCAGCGACAGAGCCATTGCACCAACTGCTGGTCCCCATTCTGTATATTTTTCAGGTATATTGATTTCTTCTGTGAGCGAGACAGGCATGCACAATGGGGTCTTGACGCCGTGACCCACCCCCAGCTTCCGCCAGCCCTGGGCATGCACATGCCTGCACTTAGGGACATCTCCTGACGTGGGACCTTCCGGTGTGGGTCCGCCTCGCACGGCGTCCTTTACTGCTATGCACCAACCAGTCCTGGGCTAGTTCTGCCTGTTGGTTGTGGTAGTGGTTACACGCATCTACGCAGGCGAGAACACACACACACACACACGCAGTACCAGTGTTACACATACGCAGTACCAGTGTTACACACACACAGTACCAGTGTTACACACACAGTACCAGTGTACAGTAGCAGTGTTACACACACACACTCCCAGTGTTACACACACAGTACCAGTGTTACACACACGCAGTACCAGTGTTACACACACACAGTACCAGTGTTACACACACGCAGTACCAGTGTTACACACGCAGTACCAGTGTTACACACGCACAGTACCAGTGTTACACACGCACAGTACCAGTGTTACACACGCAGTACCAGTGTTGGCGCTGGTGTTGCTGTTGTGCTATAGCTAGGGCTGCTGTGACCCTGGCAGTCTGGGAGATGCTACATGGGACCCCTCTGTACTTCTCTTCAACTTCCTGTGAACCTATATTTCAAAGTAAAAAGGTTTTACACACACGAGTGGCAAGAAACTGCTAAAACACGTTAATAAATGAAGATGTATTTAAAAAAAGGTTTTAGAGGTTTTTGCCTTAGGGTGCATGCACTCACTAGAGAGAGACAGTGAGAGAGAAAGTGAGGATCACCCTTCTGAGGGCTAGCCACGCCACAGTCCCTTCTCAGCTCTCCTCCCGGGATCTTGGACACACCCGCACACATGCCCGGCATGATTTTCAGGCCACCAGGTCCAGAACTCGAGCCGCGGTTGGCCATGTAGGAATCCAGCCTTCTCGTGGAAGGTGAGGTGGGGGTGTTCAGTACTCGGGTGGTGAGTCCTGGCCGTGGCTGGAGGGATTGGCGTGGGGAGGATGCTCAGGCCCCGGCAGCCCTTGCCGGAGGCCTTGAGCTGGGCCAGGGCAGGCAGCGCCCAGCTCACCGGGCACTTGTCCAGGGCAGCCCTGTCCTGCCTCCCCCGTGCCAGGAACCTGGGATTGTCCAGGAGAGCTGGCCTTGTCATCCGGGAAAGGATTCAGGCTGGGGGCCTCCTATAACAGCCTGGATCCTGCCGCCCCAGCAGAAGCCAGGAGGGGACAGGCCTTGTCCCCAGAGATGGGCTCCCTGCCTCTGGGGCAGAGGAGAGCAGCCTGGGTTGGGAGGAGGTCGCCCCTGGGACGGCGGGGGGTGGTCCCAGTGGACAGGTGGGCACCCTGCCATTGCTGGGCCTGACGGCAGGATGTGCTTAGGGAGGCACGGGCCTGAGGTGAGGAAACTCCCGGCCTGTGTTAAGGCCTACTGCAAGGGTGGCTGGGGCCTGAGCGTCCTCCCCCACCCCCACCATCCCTCCACCACAGCCAGGACTCACCGCCACTCACTTGGAACAACACCCTCATGCCATCTTCCATGAGAGCGGCTGTTTTTAAACACACAATGCTACCAAGGCCCCAGGTCCCAGGCCGCAGCCCCGTGGGGGCTTGTGCAGCTGCTCGCCGCTTTTGAAGCACCTGCCTGGGTGTCCAAGCTGTGCCCAGGCCTGCCCCAGCCCTGCCTGCGTGCAGGAGCCCAGGGAGTGCAGTCAGTCTCCACTCAGTGTCTCCTGAGTGCCTGCCTGTGCTGGGCTCTGGTCCAGGCGACAGCCCTGCCTGCAAGGAACCGACCTGCCCCTCACTCCTGTCTGTGCCCTTTCCTCAGACCCGTCTGGAAGAACTCGCTCCCCCAGGACTATCTTAGGGAGCATCCCCTGGGGCTGAGGATCCACACTGCTGAGAGCCAGTGAGGACGACAGTCCGTCCCCACACGGCCACTAGAGGGCAGCCGGGACACGGTCAGGGCCCTGCAGGGGAGCTGCGGCACTGGCCTTCCTGCTGGGGGGTGTGCTGAAGAAGAAAAGCACAGCTTCCCCCCCCATGCATGGGCCCTTGTCCCTTGTCAGTGGCCCATGTCAGAAGTGGTCCAGAAGAGGCTCAGGCAGCCTGACACCTGGAACGGCGGCATGCCATGGGGAAGGGGGTCCCAAGTTCTCCAGGATGTGTGAGGCCCGGGTGGGTGTGTGGCATGCCCTCCTGGGGACAGACCTAGCCCTGCCAAGTCATGGTAGCCACCCGTCCTTGAGCTGGGGGAGTCTGAGGGTCAAGTCACCTTGGCCCCTAGGTCAGCCTGGGGTGGCGTCCCTTGGCTTCTGCTTGGAGCCAAGCTCCGGAGGTGTCTGTGGTCAACTGGGGACATCCAGGTGAGGTGGGGGCAATCTTTGGGGTGGGTGGACGTGCATGCTGGGTCCTGGGGCCGCCTCCTCCCTGGGCTCAGGCCTGGCAGCTGAGGGGTGGGCAGGGCTGCCAGGCTGTTCCCACCGGCCCCCCGTCCCCTGGCTGTGAATGCCCCCATCACTCAGGCCCCTGGTGAGCACCGAGACAGAAATGGTCCCACCAGGCGGCCCAGCCAGAGCCGGGGATGCGAGTACCCCCACAGGCCAGAAGAGGCCCCCATGCCCAGCGTGCCACGTGGCCACGCCCCCACGCACACGCACAGGCAGGCATTCGCATACGTTGCAGATGCCTCGCGTGCACATATATGCACTCACGCCCGGTGTGCACACTGACAGCTGGGCTCACACCCAGCGTGACCGCACACTCAGGTCACAAACTCTGCCGTCCTCACGGCACTGGAGGGCAGGACGAGGAGGTGGCCCGCGCAGCGCGGGAGGAGAGCGGCCTCATGGGAACGCAGGCCCGGGCTGCCAGGGCTTCTGAATTTTTAAAAGAAGCTGGAGAGCTGCGTTTCTATGTGAAATATCCTGATTTTAAATGTTGGCTCAAGATGTCGAAAATACTGTGAGGGCCAAACCAAACACGCCTGTGAGCCAGATTCCACCCACAGGCGGTATTCTCAGACCACGGGTCCACACAGACGCACACACGCACACGGACGCACACACACACACGCTGGTGCACAGTCACGCTCAGACACTCCCAGTGACAGTGCAGTCACAGACGTGTGTACATGCATGTGGGCACACAGACACAGGAATACATGCAGATGGAACCACACAGGCACACACGAACATGCACAAGCGCAGCTAGACGCCCACGTACAAGCCCGCGCACGAGACCACTGGCCACATGTTGGCGACGTCAGGGAGCTTTGGGGCAGGTGGTCTGCCAGGGTGGGCTCTGGGCCAGGGAAGCTGTGGTCCTCGCCAGGCCCGTCCCTGACTCATAACTGCCGGACGAGCAGAGGGTGCGGGGCCGGGCGATCGAGTGGGCTCCGGCTGACTGAGGGCGCAGCCCTACACAGGGCCTTGTGCCCCTAGGGAGACAGGGGCTTGGGTACCAGGAGCCCGCCCGGTGCCCCTAGCCACACATTCCCTCTTCGCACCCCCTCAGGCCCACAGGGAGCAGCTCCAGCAGGAGGGAGCCCACGCCGTCCGCAGAGCTGCGCACCCAAGCTGCTGCCCACGACCCTACCCCTGGCAGTCTGTCCACAGCTCACCACAACGAGGGAGCTGCCCAAACCACAGTCAGCGACTCAGGGATAGCTGCTCCCCAATCCCAAGGTGCACACTAAATGCAGGGCCAGGAAGGGGCCGCTCACTCCTCTCACGGCAGGCAGAAGGCGAAGGCAGAGAGGGCTGCCGGGCTTGGGGGCCTGGGCTCCTGCCTCCTAGGCTCTGGCCCTTCCCTACCCAGAGCCGTGGAGTGGACCCCCAGCCCCCGGGCCGGTAGCATCTGCGCAGGCTCAGCCACCGTGCCTGGCCCCGCCTGCGTGACCACTATGTCGGCGAAGGAACACCTGTCACTGGACATCCCGGCCTCCTGTCCTGAGGGCCTCAAGGCTGCCCGAGGAAAGGGTAGACACTCAGCCAGGCCACGACCCCCATCCCGGGACCCACTGGGGAGAGACGGGCGTTGAGCTCCCTCTGGTTGGGACACGAGCAGGGGCAGACTGGTGAGCAGCTGGGGCTCAGAGAGGGCAGGTGGGTTGCCCAGGGTTACACAGCACACAGCTGGCCAGGCCTATGCCCTGCCTGTCCCTCCCCTAGCAGTGGGACCAGCCGTGACCAAGGCTTGCTGTGGTGGCCGTGGTGGCCTCAGGCCAGGCTCACCTTCCCAAAGTGGGCCGAGGGGGCATCGGGTCGGGAGATGTACCAAGTGCACCTCTTGGCCCTCCCTGGGGCCCTACAGCCAAAACTCTTCTAAGAGTGGGGAGCCGGGACCCTCAGATCCCCCCAGGACTGCCTGTGTCCCCTCTGGCCCTCTGGGCATGTCTCATCCCTCTGGAACCTCTGAGAACTCCACCCCTTCCCCTCTGCTGTCTCCCTCTGACCACATCCTGGGCAGGTGAGAATGAGAACCCACTGGCCCAGTCCTCTCCCCACCTGAGAGGTACCCTCCCAGAGCCAGGAGCTGAGAGCTGGGGTCCCGCCACCTCCCAGCCCCCGCCGCCCAAGCCCGCTGGTGTTTACGTGTTCCTTGTGGCTTGGCGGGGCTGCAGGACCTTGAAGGAAGAGGTGACCACCTGGCTCCAGCCCTGCTCAAGGCAAACAGGGCCCTGCCTGCCTGCCAGGCCCACTGGAGCTCCCGCTTCCTCTGCCAACACCTGGATGGCCAGGTGGGGCCCAGGGGTGCTGGGTCTTGGGGACACCTGGTGTGAGGGGGTGGTGCCCACCCCAAGGGAAGGCGTGGCCCTGTCCTGAGGGGAGAGGGCCAGCCTTCATCTAGGTGTCCAGGGGGAGACACCTGAGCTGGGGCCCCCAGGCGAGGACAGCCCTGTCACAGGAGCGGGAGGCAGTTTCGTCCACAGGGAACGCGTGGGGCCAGCCAGAGGCGTGCTCACGGCAGCTGCACCCCCAGGGCCAACGCCGGTTCAGTCCCACACCTGGCAGCTTGAAACAGGCCAGCGCGTGCACACGAGCCCGGGGTCCTGAGGAGTGAGGTGCTGCGGTGGCCATCCCTAGGGGTGGTCTCACTTCCCCTATTTCTCTCTCCAGTGAGTGGACACGCCCTATAGCAAATTATGTGAGATTCTGTAAATAAAGGGAAGGTGGGGACAAGCGAGAGTGGCCAGAGCCCTGTCCTGGGGAGTGCCCGGTCTGAGGGGGGACATCCCTGACCTGGGGAGTGCCCGGTCTGAGGGGGACATCCCTGACCTGGGCAGCCCGTATGAACAGCACAGGGTGAGGCCTCATTATTTCAGAAGCCTCCTGACAAAAGACCCTGGGCTGGGGAAGGCCCCCGAGGCCCAGCCCGCTCGGGGACCCTGCCTATGGGTGGGCTCAGTCAGAGATGATGGGTCAGTCCAAGCTCTGACGAGGGGCATGGGACATCCCTAGGGAGGGAGACAAAGGTGTGTCCTGCCAAAGTCCCTGTCCCTCAGCCAGTGCCCCTTCCGGGTCCTTCCTGATGACAGCCCCTCACACCCCAGCATCTCTGCCTGCGCCTCCTGTCATCACACCGGCCGCCTCGCCGCAGCGGGAACGCTAAGCACTGCTCGGACCTGTCGCTCTCCCTCTAGAACGCCCCATGGCTCCCAGCATCCGCAGGAGTGCTCCAATCACAGCCTGGCTCGGGGGTCCTTCAGGACCTGACCGTCCTCGACACACCACACGGTGCTCTGGTGTTTGCTCTATCTGCCATCCAGGCTGGGCCTGGGCTGAGTGACCCTCCCTAGCCCCCACGGGTGGCTGTGGGGGGCTGTCTCAGGCCACAGAGTAGATGCACCCACGCACAGTCCACCATCCCAGCCAGCCCTCTGGGCTCAGGCTCCTACCACCCCCACTTCCTGAGCCAGAGCAAGACCCCAGCACGCGTCCCCTGGGGCCCTCGCGCTCTCCTGAGCCCTCTGCTGGCCACAGAGGCGCACCTGGTCCAGGGTTGGGTCCGGGGTCAGGTAAGAAGGGTCCTGAGTGGCCAGCAGCCGGCGAGGAACATGAGGGACCTGCGGTCAGCCATGGGTGGACAGCAATGGGGCTTCAGGCAGAGAACTGGCGGAGGGAGCTGGCCCCAGTGCAGGGAGCTCTGGAGGTGGCCGCGCCGACGGGTGAAGGCCACATCGGGGCCCGTCAGGGCCATGTGCTGCTGTGAGGCAGCGAACTTGGCCTTCCTCGGCCTCTACTGGACAGCAAGCGCTTGCCCAGACCCTTCCCCTCCTGTGGGGCCCCGAGGCTCGCAGGCTCGCAGCCCCTCTGGAGCGACTCCCTACGTCCGACCACAGGAAGCCACACGCCGCTTCCTTTTCCCTTTTTCTTTTTTTTTTTTTTTTTTTTTTTTTTTTTTTTTGGGAGCGACTCCCTCCGTCCGACCACAGGAAGCCACACGCCGCTTCCTTTTCCCTTTTTCTTTTTTTTTTTTTCCTTTTTCTTTTTCCTGTTTTTCCTCCCAGCCCCAGCCCTGAGTGGGCAGCCGTCCAGGCACCCGTCTCTTGGTCCATCAGTCTGTCCTCCATGTCAGCAGGTCCGACCCAGGCGCCGGTCACATGACCGTCTCCCACTCCTCCTGCAGCAGGGCAGGGGGCCGCTCGGGCCCCGAGGCCTCCTCGTCCAAGCCCGAGCAGGAGCCGTTCAGGAAGCCATCGTCCCTGGGCGCAGCCACGGCTGGCACTGAGTGGTCCAGGGCAGGGGTGCCTGGCCTGGTGTGGCCGGGCAGCGGGGGGTGGCCGTTGGTGGCAGCTGCGGGCAGCAGGCGGGGGCTGAGGGGCAGGCCAAGTCCGGCACGGGGCCCCACGTTGGTCACGCTCGTGTGGGACACCATCGGGCCATAGCTGTAGCTGCTGCTCCCGCTGCGAGCCTTGCGCTTGAAGTCCAGCGCCAGGGTCCAGCGGCTCCATGATTTCTTGATCTCAGCCTGCACCTTAGGGTGGGGGCAGGCGGTCAGGGCACTCCAGACCCCACGGCCATGCGTCCCCACCACAGGCCTGCAGCACCCAGCACTGGGTCCCCTGGGGAGGCACCTCCCTGCCTTTGGGTGTCCTCAGGGATGCTCCCAGGACACAGGGAGCCGCGGGCAGGAGGACCCGCACCCGTGGCCCACCCACACCTGCCTACCTCGCCGTTGCAGAAGCAGTATATGATGGCAACCACGAAGCCCTGCGGGGAGAGGCGCCGTCAGGGGGGCCCACGCCCACGCCCGCCCCAGCGCCCGCCGCTGCGCACCTGGAAGGAGTTGAAGAGCATCTCGTAGTGCATCTGGATCTGCCAGACCGTGCCCAGGATCTCGGTGTAGGGCGTGGCCATGAAGACGACGTAGTGGACGCCGAAGAGCGGCATGAGCACCAGCGTGGACTTGAGCAGCTTCCTGGGCCATGCGGCGGGGAGAGTGGGTCAGGGTCCAGCCACTTCCTGCCACAGGCCCCACCCGCCACCCAGCTGGCTTCCAAAGCTCCGAGGGCCCGAGGCTCTGGCTGCCCTGAGACCACAGCGGCTGCTGTATCCTGGCAAAGTGGCATAGCACCCCTTGCTTCTCGGAGGTGCCCTTTGCCTCACCAATCCCTCGGGCTCCCTGAGACCAGCTCTCCGAAGGGAGATCTGAGTTCGTCCCACCCCGGGGGGCAGGTGGTCCCCCGGGCCTCCAGAGATAGGCCAAGGTCCCCTAACTGCTGGGCAGGCCAGGGGCCAGGCTGGTCCCAGGGAGAGAGCTGGAGCGTTCCCTTGTGACAGTGCCTCCGTGGGACGCTGTCCCTGAGTCCAGGCCAGGAGTCAGTGGCCCTGCGGAGCCCCGGGGTGCTCACCGGTACTGCTGCCGCGTGTCGCAGCGGCCGGCGTTTGTCTCCCGTAGCTTGGTGGCCAGCACGCGGACGATGTTGATGAAGAGGATGAAGTTGAGCTGTGGGAGTGAGGGTCTGCATCTCTAGGCTGTCCCCACAGCGGGGACCGCGGATGCGGACCCACATCCGCAGCCACGTCTGGGTGGCTCCTGGGGCCCCCGGGCC